AGTGACATCTCTCTTTCTGTGTGTCAAGGTAGAATTGTTTCACCCCTGCGGGTTTGATTGGATAACACAAGAGCTTTTAATTTCAAAACTTAGAGTTCTTTTATTGGAATAACAACTTCACATCAATTTATTTTTTATCCTAAAAAAAGATACTTCTTCCTAGCCACATTACTTTTTTCACTGACACAAAGACGGGCAACGCAATTATCTAATCTTTTTTTATCGAAATAATCAAGTCCACAGGTAGCTGAGGAACTTCAATATGGAGAGACTTTGCAAGATTATAATCTTTGACCTACAATCCAACTTTTAAATTCATTTTCGATGCCCTGGTTGACCTCTCAGATATAAAAAAAAATCTCTCCTACTCTTTTTCTTGATCAAACAGACCTCTGTCTGTCCTTTATCAATTGCATATTTAATTATTCCACATTTCTGTGTTAAATTGAACTGAAATACATCTAAAGGCATAGTCTTAAATAAGATCAAACTGTGCAGTTAATTAAATGGCATTACATACGTTGATTAACAAATATTAGACCAAATTCATGCTGATTACAAATGTTTTTTTCTTACAATATTAATCTAAGTTGAAAAAGTACTACAATTAATCTTACTGAGTCTACTAAATTAAATTCCCTCACAGTATTGTCTTAAACCCAGATCTAGGCTTCTCGATTTAAGTTTTCTTTAGGAACTTTCTAGACAAATCTAACGTTCAATGGGTTGACACAACTGAAAAAGGTTCTACCTTTCAACAACTGTCAAAACTTTAACTAGATTGAAGAAGACAGGAGCCTTACCGAGGTGCTACTACTAACGCTATAATAAAACTTCAGGACCCAAAGAGGCCAAACTCAACTTCTTCTTCAATCATTTCGTGAAAATCTTGAGAAATGTAAACATATAAACATCTTAATTAAGCAAACGTTCCGAGAGGCCAATGAAAATCTGATTATAGTTACTCAGCAACATCTTTCAGTGGTATACAAGCTTTTACAAGAATCCGTTGCTAAATTTTAATTAAGATTTACCATAAGAAGGCTCGTGTTGATCTTAAGATGAAACCGTTTCTTTTCAATTCAAACAAATAAACAAACAAGCAACAACAACAATAAAAAGCCTGATGACCAGCAACTAACATGGCCCTTCCTATAAGTTCCTTTGACCCGACTTAGTTACTCGTTCGTGCGTTGCAAAGAGAAGGCTCTGAGTAAATCTTGATAAACCGGTTTTCGACACTCACGGTTTTCCAGTTCCACTCACTTGCGATTCAATCAACCACTAAGCTTTCTTCAGAGAAAACTTACTGAAGCCCTCTCTTAATGCATACCCGAAACGCTTAAGTTTTTTCCTTGATCATCTGTTGCAATCCAAAATAGTTCAGAATCCCAGTGCGCGGGCAGTCTAGTGCAATACTTTCCTCGTTCATTTCATCAATGTAAGATGCAACCTTCCGGTTCACCCCTTTCCCGCCTGAATTTTTACCAGTGCATCATTTCCATCGTCAACAGGGCAAAAGATTAAGAGATAAGTACCTTTACAAAAACTTATCAAACTAAAGCGTTGACGTATAGGAAAGGTTTTCATATTTCTTGCGAAATGATCGTTTCCTTAAAGTTTTCACCTCACGAAATTCAAATCTGAAATAAAATTAAACAGCTACACAATGATCCTTTTCAACTGTTAAGGAAGAAAAAAAAACAGGCATTGTATATTCAGAAAAGTCCTACAGATTGTCTCCAAACAAATTATTAATTGCTAAACATTCTGAGATTAGGGAAGCGAACCTTTCCTGTGATAAACTCGCTTTCTATTAATAATAATCTCCCTGACAAATCTTCAGTAACAGCACGACAAGGGTAGTCATAAAATACCCTCATTTAAACACACTCATTAACTAATCGAATTAAATATCTTCTAAGTGGAGAGAAGTTAAAAAAGTCCAGCTTTCTTTCTGAGATTTGTCTTCTTCCACATTGGCAGAGCATCAAAAGCGCTTTTGGTCATGTTAAAAGCTTTCTGCAAGGAAAAAGAAAAGCACACGTTCAAATGACTTGAAGGACAAGGGAACAAGGTGACGAAGAGAAGAAGAAACAAAGAACGAAGAGAAGAAGGAAAGAAGGGAAGGGGAGACGCAGGGTCAAAAGGCCAAGGCGACGAAGAGATGAAGAGACGAAGGGACGAAGAGACAAAGAGACGAAGAGAAAAGGGACCAAGAGACGAAGGAACAAGGGACGAAGAGAAGGGAAGTGGAGACGCAGGGTCAAAAGGCCAAGGCGACGAAGAGATGAAGAGACGAAAGGACGAAGAGACAAAGAGACGAAGAGAAAAGGGACCAAGAGAAAAGGGACCAAGAGACGAAGGAACATGGGACGAAGAGAAGGGAAGTGGAGACGCAGGTCAAAAGGCCAAGGCGACGAAGACACGAAGAGACGAAGGGACGAAGAGACAAAGAGACGAAGAGAAAAGGGACCAAGAGACGAAGAGTAAAAGAGACGAAACAAGCAAGGCACCAAATGACGAACGGACCGAAGGCGACCGAGGGGTGAAAGAAAGAAGACACGAATTAACGACGGAACGAGGGACGAAGAGACGAAGAAGAAAAGACACGAAACGAGAGGGTCACGGAATGACGAACGGACTGAACACGACCGGACTGAAGGCAAACGACAGGTGAAAGAAAGAAGAGACGAATTGGCGACGGAAAGATGCAATGATATGACGAAGACAGATTAAAGTGACAAAGGGAAGAAGGAAAGATGAACGAGAGAACAAGAAAACGAAAGGAAAAGTTACAGAGGAACGCGGGGAGAACCAGAAAACGAAAGGACAAAGTTACAAAGGAACGCGGGAACGAACGAACGAACGAACGAACGATACCATATCGAAAAACCTTATTTTCTTACCTGAAAGTCGTCTGCACTCAGATATGTCTCAAGTCTTGACGGATCAACCCCTTCAGGGGGCGGTTTTTGTTTCAGTTCTTCTAAACTGTACTCCTGCCTATAAACCGAAATACAAACACATCAATTTTCCCGTGCAAGACTGTTCGAGAGTCCTTTTTATGTTTCTCAACAACATACCTTGAGAGTTTGGTAAGTTCTGTTTCTACTTTTACCGTATCGCCGTCACCTTTACCATCCTAAAAGAATAACGAGGTTTAATCAAAACAAGTCCTTTAGATTTTTTCCTAAAAATGGCACAAGGATTGCAATAATTTTTTTCCAAATGAAGTCAATCATTACTCACCGCTATGTTTATTTTGGCCACGTCGGGTCTTTCCTCCCAGAATGGGAAAAGCAGTTTGAACGATTTTGGTTCCAGACCAGCAAACACAATGAATACTTGAGAGAAGTCGCGCTTTAGTTCTAAAAAAGACAAAAATCTAATCAGGACGCACTTCTACCCAAAATGTAGCCTGTGAGCACGACGCGCGTTTCCCCGCCCTAGGGAAGATTAAAGACGAGTCGGGGAGAGGTTTGCCGGGGGTCTGGCACCAATAATGAGGACGCCTAACCGACCTCTCTCTCGACTCTCATATTTTACTGCGGGCAAAGAAATGCTCGTGCCTAATAAAAAGGGCCTGCTTCAAGGCTACTAATATGTGTCAGATCGACAAACAACTGAGTTTGTGCAGTAACAAGATTTTAAGAGACTGTAAAGAGCAGAAAAGGTAGCCTTGAACTAGAGGCAGTGTTCTCAACAAATTTTTGGAAAGCTATACATGAATAAAACAGTCGCCCGCAAAGAATAAAACGTATTTCAGATTAGTCAAAACAGTCAGTTATATACAGGGTTTGTCTTTAATTAAAGTAGCTGGCGCTTCAGAAACAAGTGGCCGGTAACAACACTGGTAGCAAGGGATTCTAAAGGACACGAATAGGAGTAGATTATTTTAAGGGAGGCATCACTCGTACACAGAATAATAATACCCTTAGGTATCCTACCAGAGTATTTGCTGGCCAAGTTTCCCAGAATATCGGTTCTTTTGTGAGACAGCTATTCTGAAATACGTTCCAGCACAACACAACACAACACAATAACAGAGTGAGGCGCCACACACAGCACTTGAACTTGTATGCCGACCCTCCTTGAGGTAAAAAGGATTTTAAATGTTACATCATATTATACCTGTTGCGTATGACTTGATGGTTTCCATCGACAGCCGTTTGTCATTGCTCCATCGCGTTTCCGCGGAGCCTGTTGTTGAAGCTCTGGACTCGGAATCGTCTCCACTCGGCCACCAGCCGTGCCAAAGGTAAATGACATGCACTGCGTCTACCATAAACAAGGCTGAGACAGGAGAAAACAGCATTCAAAAGGTTATATAACCGGAAAATTCTGAACCCTAGGTTGACACTAACCGAAAGTACCCCTTCTGATTGGTCCACAGAACTTACGCTACTTTCCTTAACCAATGAGAAGTCAAACGAAAACAAATCACATTCGTAACGTGCTTCAGACTGACCCGTGTACAGCTAAAAAAAACAGCCTTTCGTTTTAATTTCAACTTGCGTATTTGCTCCATCAATTCGCTGTTTTCAATTCATCAAATGCAATAATCAAAGCTCACCGAAACTCTAACCGCTCACGTGTTTCAGTTTTCGTGAATGCTTAATTACGAGCAAAATTGGGTGCAGAAATTGTATTGTGAAATCCTACCAACATGAGGCCCTTCACCCTTCATACCTGGTTGATCTGCTGAGTACAGTTGTGATTGAAGAATCGGATAAGGTGTGATATGATCAGATCTAGCTGGGTTTAACACTTCAATGGCCTCAAACGAGCCACTGGAGCTCTTCAGGTGGAAAACACGCATCGTATAGTCATATTTCTTCGAATCTGTCACAGAAACGAAAGGATGTTACATCAACTTAGTTCTGAGATGCTACGAATACCTAACAGCAGTTTAAATAAAGCCACTTTACACGAGAAGGCGCCTAACATATGATTTACTGTAATCCATTTAATATTCTATGTCATTTCCTATTTCATGCTCCAGTCTCACAGTAATTAACAGAAACGAAAGGATGTTACATTAACTCAGTTCTGAGATGACCAAGTAGCAGTTTAAATAAAGCCACTTTACGCGAGAAGGCGCCTAGCATATTATTAACTGCAATCCATTTGATGCTAGGATTACCCCGCTTCAGTCGAGGGAATTTTCTATTTCACGCTCCAGTCTCACAGTAAGTTAACCCTTTGGCCCCTAGGAGTGACTAACATCTAATTTCTCCCCACAATGTCACCCCTGAATCAAACATTAAGGTCGTGAGAATAAAGGAAATGATCAACAAAAAAAGAAGCTCTGATTGTTAGACAAGTTCTCCTTCTCAGTACCTTAGAAAATGTATGGAGAACAGAATGGAGAATATCCATACTGATGTTGGGGAGCAAAGGGTTACAAACCTTCAAGAAGTGAAACAAAGCCTGTCTTTCCACCGAGAACATTCCAAAAATCTTTGCTCTCCTCCCCTTCGGAAACTTCTTTCGCTTTAAACTCCTTGGAATATTGCTTGTTGAACCTGTTGGAGTAAAGTGAAAAAAACAGAAGATTTACCTTGAACGATAAAATCAGAAAACAGTCGCTGTAACAAAAGACTAACACTCGAAAAGTCAGCCTTGAAAACTCTCTTCACGGTGGCCAATTACATTACCAACTCATTCGATAAAACCAAATTATCTAGTTATACCCCCACTGATGCAGCATCAGAGTTCCTTTAGAATCTTACCCCTATTTTGCAGCAACAAAAAGGATTCTCTCCTAAAGCTAAATATTTACGCTCTAAAACTTCACCTCTATACTTACAGGTAGGATATTCGAAAAAATACCGTCTGGTTACTGTCATGGGATTTTCCTTCCTAAAACTCTCAACATGTTACTTACCATTTCTTTAGTCTCTTTGCGGCGCTTACAGCCACCTGCTTCGTGGCTGCAGGAGATTGACAGCCGTGCCAGGCATGTACGATTGATTTCTTGTTGTCCGCTACAATAAATGACGTACGCGATCTCAAGCATGAGGAACTGTTGGTAAAAACGAGCGAAAAGATCGATTCTCAACACAGTGTAAAGTTGTATGCAAGTAACCCGCGTCCTGCAGATGGTCTGCCTGCAGGCTACAATGTAAACTGCTTGTTTTCTTCTAAGTTAAAACCGGCACCTTATGTTTGTTTCCTCTTGGTTTCAGCTCACTCAATCAACGATTAAATAATTGAATAATTTCCTGCCAAATAACCTCACCTTGCTGGTATTTGTAATAAATAAGATTCTTCGGGTTCCTCGTTTCGCACGATGAAAAGCGCGCCATCATCTTCAGAAGAGACCAAAATGAAAGTAACATATTAACTACCATTTATTTACTCAAATAGATGCCGCAGCGTATATATATAATTTTGCAACTGACGAACGGCGCTTGTTTGGGGGCAATCGTTGATCGTAACTGCGATGTCTATCGAGCAGCTTCCAATTGCGTGTTAAAAGTAATCGAGGGTAATTTAGTATCATCAACTGAGTTGATAACTTAAATTGGCCACCATAAAGAGTTCCAAAGCCGACATTTACAGCGTTAGCCCTTTGTCAGAGCAACTGATTCAGTTGATAATACAAAATTACGCTGTTATAATCTCTAACACAGCAGTTTCTTCAGAAATTTATCCCCGCTATTCAAAAGAAATCTAGGATTGCTTTGGTTTTGTTCTACTCCCCCAAGAGATTGAGCGAAAACTTTCCCCATTTTCTCAACCAATTAGATTCAGAATTAAAACTAATCGCGACTTTGCTACCCGCGTTTTCCCGTGCTTGGGACAGTTTGCGAGTTTTCACTTTGAATTCTCATTGGCTACTCAAGACACTTTCCTTTGGCCTGACTGGCAGGTTTTGGTGCTTAGAAACTTAGTCCAAAAGCGCTCTAATTAGCATCATTTCAGTGTAACTATAAACATACAGCTATCAGCAAACTAAATAACTGACAGCTGTTGCTCCCTATAAGAAACTACTTGCTAAGAAGAACATCGTTAACGGTGTAAACTCATACCTGTCTCCTCTAGAGAATCTTTCCTGTATAATAAAACAGAAAGTAAATTGCGTCAAATTTCTAGAAATCGAACAAACCTTGTTTGTGCTTATTTCCGGAAATCCAAAAGGTAAAATGTTTGTCTAAGAAGTTTTAGAGAGACTTACTTTCCTAAGTGAACAACCATCTTTCCTTCGAACAATCTTGTGAAACAAGGAGGTTCCTTTCCTTGCGCGACCAAAACCTGGAAGACAATCATTCTTTAAATTAGCTCTTTTTCCTTTCCTTACATTTTTAAATGGCGAAGCGCTTCAAGTTGGTGAGCAAATCCAGTGCCACCTTCTCAACCAAGTAAATGCAAAATTAAAACCAATCGCAACTCGTTCATCCGCGTTTTCGCGCGCTTGAGGCTTGCCCACGTGTTCATACTTTGATTTCTGATTAACTCTTGGTAATTTTCTACGTTTGGATTGGCCGTTTTGATTGCCCGTTCTCGTTTCGTTGGGTACTAAAAGGTGGGACGGTACCTGAGGCCCTTTATCGGAGTCAAGCTCGACAGTCATAAGAGCGGCAGTTCCTTTCTCATTCAGTGAACTGTCTTTTCCTTGCCAGAAGAAGTACGCCACCTTATCCCGACCAACATCCTCATAGCGAGACTGCCTCCCCTTCAGTGTCTTAACGCCTGTCAGCTTCACACAGTACTTCCACCTCACCACGTAACCTAGCAGTGGAAGAGTGTGGTCAGAAATACGGTAAACCATGTGAAATTTCATCTAAAACCCACCGCGCTTACCTATCGCTTTAATTTTGGAGCTTCCAACGCTTTGTTAAATCAAGGAGCCCTTAGCTCAGAAAGCACTAAGAACAATTCGCGTAAAAACAACTCTACCTTTCAACTGAATCGCGAAAAAATACAGGGTCGCATTTTCTTTTTTTCCTTTTCTTCTTTTCGCTTCACTTCTCTCTGCCATGGACCTGGGAAACTTGCACCACCTTCTCCACAAATCACGCACAACTTAAAGCTAATTGTGACTTGGTCGCATGCGTTTTCCGCGCTTTTACTTTGAGTTCTCACTGGCTCATTGCGATATCTACCATCGTTCTGATTGGCCGTTGTGTTCGCTTTGGGTTTGGCTTTACCAGACATAATGTAAACGGCCGCACACTCGTTGCAATAACAAGTTCACTGTTTACGGAGTAAACTAGGGACCGAGCAAAACAAAGCAGCCGACTTATCTAAAAATGATTACCAACCTTCTGATGAAAAAAAATGGCCATGTTCCTCTTCAGAGAGCAATTGATAAGAATATTCCTTAACATGCCAGATTTTCAATGAAATTGAAGAAACAATAAACTGCCGCCCCTCTTCATCGACGGTACCTGTGCCACGCCCCACGTCAAAACCTACAGATAAACAAATGCTGAAGTATTCTTATCCACTCCAAACTGACCATAAACTACTCGAAAAATAAGTCTACGACAGCCTTGACGTTAAGTTTCCACTCTCAACTTATACGCATGTTTAAGGTTGGGACTTTAGTCTCTTAACATGCGTGAAAGAGGGAAAACGTATAGACAACTCGAGTGAGCCGGAAA